TTTGGGGGGGGGGGGGGGGGGGTCACCACAACATGCGTAGCTGGATTAAAGGGACGGAGCATTCGTAAGGGTGAGAACCACTGCTATAATCGACAGTGGGTTATTTATGACGCAGCAACGAAAATTGTTTTATGTTTGGGGGGGGGGGGGGTGGGGGTCACCACAACATGCGTAGCTGTATTAAAGGGTCGCAGCATTAGTAAGGTTGAGAACCACTGCTATAATCGACAGTGGGTGTTGCGTAGCATTTCCAGGAAGGTGCGAATAGGTCGTTTGAATCGACAGCCATTAAGGTATTCACCATACATTTTCGGTTACAACAGGCCTGAATGGATTTGTGTTTTCCGTTGTATCTTGTCAAAGAGTCGACGGGTCGAATGGTTAGCAATTGAATAGAAACTCGTAAAAGAAAAAAAAAAGAACGCAAATTCTGAAATCATACCCGGAGTTGAAGTCTCGCAGGTGGGGTATGACATTGACTCAATGAAAAGTTATTCCACTCCTGCGCAGGGGGACGCATAAAGAGAACCGCGAAACGGCGAAACAAAACACACACAAACGAAACCTAGTTCCTGGTCAGATTTTAAGAAAACCCATGTTTTTTTTTCTCTGAAAGTCAGCATGTCAAATAGATGCCAACGACCTCACACCTTATATGTTAGAAGTGAAGTAAACTAAAGCACAATGGCTTCGTGGTGTGATTTCAAAAAAATACTTTTTTTATATCAAGCTTCTTACTGAGACCATCAATTATCTTTTCTTTTTTTTTTTTTTTGCAACTACACCAAATGCTTTCTCAATCTCTAAGAAAAGTGTTAACATGTCAATGTTCAAAATCATTTTATCGTAATATTTGGAGTTAAAAAATCAGGTGAGTAAATTGTATCATATTTATAAATCTTTCAAAAATTCAGATTTTTAAAAATTAATTACAACATTTAGAAAAATCTGTACTTGAAAACAAAATTTTCCATTGGGACAGATATTATGATAATCTCAAAGGGAACTTCGATGCCATTTTTTTTATAACCACCTAATTTGACAGGGGCGTGTCCCATGATACAAGATGAGACAACAATGACTGTAATTTTTTTTAAAATTTGGATTATTAAATCCTTTATATTAACTTCACTCTTGTGTGTTTGGGGCTAAAATCTTCAGACGGCTAACTGACGCACTTCCCGTCAACCTATCGAGCTGAAACTTTGCACATACACTCGTTGCCAATGACAACATACTCTTTCAGAGTGTCAGCCCTGGCCCACCAAAAATCAATTCTTCCTTTTTTTCCCAAGGGAAGACGAAGGCAAGGAGATGTCACTGATTTCATGAAATAAAATTGCCGATACCTGAAATTAAATGAGATTCTTAACGAAAAACAAGATTGCAAGTGAAGTTGGTGCGTCATATTTTCTTTTGTTTTTCCGAAATGGTTGATGAAATAAATCTTGGGTGTAAAAGTGGGTGGAACTTTAGAATATTAATACAAAACAAATCAATAAATAATGCATAAAAAGTATGAATACGAAAAATAAATGTTTTTATGGGTTGTTTAATTTTCATAATAAATTTTGAGAGTATTTCAATTACAGTTCTTTAAACTGCAAGTCTATTAGGAGACTTTAAGGTATTGTAGAACCTTTAGATTAACTATGCGACATCGCCAAGTCTTCTATATACAAAATTGAGTGTTGAGCAGAATTCCATAAATATATTTTAGATGAAGAGAATGGAAATCGCTGGTACAGTAAGGATGAAGAGGAAGACAATCTTTGGTACAGTTTAGATGAAGAGGAAGAAAAGCTCTAGCACGGTTGAGAAGAGAGAAAGAATAATTTAAAAGAGACAAGGAAAAACTCAGGCACAATTTAGAGGAAGATTAAACAAGTTCTTGTGCAGTTTAAAAGATAGAGAGAAAATGCTGGTACATTTTAGGTGAAGAGGAACAAAAGCTACGGTACGGTTTAGAGAAAGAGAAGCTTGAGTACAGTTTAAAAGACAAGGGAGAAACACTCTGGTAAAATTTAGAAGAAAAGGAAGAAACGCTCTGGCACAGTTTCGAAGAAGAGGAAGAAAAGCTCGGGTACAGTTTCGAAGAAGAGGAAGAAAAGCTCTGGTACAGTTTATAATGAAAGGAAGATAAGCTCTTGTACAGTTTAGAGGATGGGAAGAAAAGCTCTAGTACAGTTTAGAGGATTAGAAGAAAAGTTATGGTACAGTTTAGAGAATGGGAAGAAAAGCTATGGTACAGTTTAGAGAATGGGAAGAAAAGATCTGGTACAGTTTAGAGGATAAGAAGAAAAGCTCTGGTACAGTTTAGAGGATAGGAAGACAAGATCTGGTACAGTTTAGAAATGGGAAGACAAGATCTGGTACAGTTTAGAGAATGGGAAGAAAGGCTCTGGGACAGTTTAGAGGATAGGAAGAAAAGATCTGGTACGGTTTAGATACCTTCTAATTATTATACTTAAAGAAGATTAAACATATTTTAAGATTAAACAAAAGTTCTTTTCTGCTATATATTTTGACTGTCTTTTCAATTGTAACAGTGTACATTCAAGGGCATCTACATGGGATGTGGGGGAGCTGGTTCTAAAATGTGTTGGGGAAAGAATAAAATCCCCCCCCCCCAAAAAAAAAAAAAACAAAAAAAAAAAAAACACACATCTTCAACAAAAAAAAAATAGAAAAAAAAAAAAACAAAAAAAAAAACCCCCCCCCCAAAAAAAAAAAAAAAACCACAAAAAAAAAACCACACATTTTTAACAAAATTAATTTTGGAAAGAAAAAAAAACAAGTAAAAATACTTGATATGCTTTTATTATAATATAATATTTACATGGGGTTTTTATTTACAAAATAAAGTGTATTTTAAATGTCTGACTGAGGTCGGGGATTTGTACAGTAGAATAACACATGTTTTGACCGCACCGCCATCCAGCCACCGGTCCAGACGATAAATTGAAGGAATTAAAACCTAAATTTATTATTACATCCCTAATAAAATTCATTTGTTTTTTTTTTTTAAATCAATGTATTTAAAAATTTGATCAGCTATTGTGCGAAGAACTATTTAGCTGTTTCTGAAATTGTAATCGTTTTAGTATGAATACTTTAAATAGTAGTCGATACTGTTATAACAATTGATATCACTGAAATAGTTTGTTTTACCAAAATCCATGGGGAAATCGCGTATTAAATACCAACACCATGAGTTGGATCAGTGTTACACGCACATAGACTTTAACAAGTCCAGTGTCTAGGGCTGGGAGGGAGTTTCGCGTCCACACGTAAGGGGTGGGGGTAGAGTCTAATCAAGGTCAAATATTTACCTTAAGATCTACATGTTTAACCCAACCGTCTCAGCGAGTCTAAAACATGCACCGAAGCAAAAAACAAAAAACAAAACCAAAAAAAATAAAATAAAAGTCCTTTAAGTTTTAGTCATATAGATTTAGTTAATAAGTTTTAGTCAAATAGTTTAAGTCAAATAGTTTTTTTTTTCAAATAGTTTCAGTTAAATAGTTTTAGTCAAATAGTTTTAGTCAAATAGATTAAATCAAATAGTTTTAATTAAATCGTTTTAGTCAATCAGGTTTAGTCAAATAGTTTTAATCAAATAGTCGTAGCGGATTTTTTCCTAGACTTTATCTATGGAACATGGTTCTTTTTTGTGTAGCAATAAAAAATTCAATCAGACCAATGGTTGCATTCATAGATACCAGGATATGTTTCCTACCTAAACATGGCGTTGCCACCCCCACCCCCACCCTCCTTTCCACCTTCTTTTTACGCTCTCTACCGTTTCTCTATCTCAAATGTTGTATTTTTTTCTTGTCATTTTATTCTTGCATACTTCCTGCCTTAATGTGATGGTCGTGCGGACTTCGCTGGACGAATTCACAAGACCCGGGATTTTTCTTCAGGAGGACAAGCTAGCTCCCTATGCAGCAACTCACCTCTCTCCACGCCTCTGCTGAACCCAGGGGAATTTCTCAGGTGAAGGGTACACCTTGGCGGCAGTGGCGTCGCAGGAAATGACATCGCGTACATGTCATACCGCCTCCATTTCCTTCTCTTGGATGGGTTGCCACCCAAGGGTTAACCAGTCCCATTGACATTAAATAAATTGTTTTAGATATTAGTAGATTGGGTAAAGTAATCTCGATTAGTAGATTGGGTATATTAATCCCGTTAGTAGATTGTGCAGAGTAATCCCGATTAGTAGATCGTGTATAGTAATCCCGATTAGTACATTGGGTATATTAATCCTGATTACTCCATTTGGTATAATAATTCCCATCGGTAGATTGGGTAGAGTTATCCCGATTATCAGATTGCGTATAGTAATCCCGATTAGTAGATTGTGTATAGTAATCCCGATTAGTAGATTGTATATAGTAAGCCCGATTAGTAGGTTGTGTATAGTAATCCCGATTAGCAGTTTGTGTATGGTAATCCCAATTAGTAGATTGTGTATGGTAATCCCGATTAGTAGATTGTGTATGGTAATCCCGATTAGTAAATTGTGTATGGTAATCCCGATTAGTAGATTGTGTATGGTAATCCCGATTAGTAGATTGTGTATGGTAATCCCGATTAGTAGATTGTGTATGGTAATCCCGATCAGTAGATTGTGTATGGTAATCCCGATTAGTAGATTTTGTATAGTAATCCCGATTAGTAGATTGTGTATGGTAATCCCGATTAGTAGATTGTGTATAGTAATCCCGATTAGTAGATTGTGTATAGTAATCCCGATTAGTAGATTGTGTATGGTAATCCCAATTAGTAGATTGTGTAGGGTAATCCCGATTAGTAGATTGTGTATGGTAATCCCGATTAGTAGATTGTGTATGGTAATCCCGATTAGTAGATTGCGTATGGTAATCCCGATTAGTAGATTGCGTATGGTAATCCCGATTAGTAGATTGCGTATGGTAATTCCGATTAGTAGATTGTTCATGGTAATCCCGATTAGTAGATTGTGTATGGTAATCCCGATTAGTAGATTTACCTGCCGTAAGTAAAACAGCAGCTACAGGGCTGCCAGCTGTGACGTTTCACAACAGGAAGTTAAGGCGGATACAGGGTAGGGATCGTGATCACAAGTTGCCGTTAAGAGGTGGAGGTGGTAACCTCTTGCCGATGATTCTTACTTGAGAAGCTGCTCCTGAGAAATCGATCGTGTGGACTGTGTGCAAGCACAGTGTCGGACCGGCCGGGTGTCTTTGGGTTGGGGCAGCCCCCAGCGGAACCCGATCGAGTGGAATTCGGGTGGACGCTGTCCTGGCAAAGGAACATCTCTAGCGTGAAACTTCACCGCCCGATACCGGACTTAAGGGGCGGGGGATGCCTTGGGGAGGTCATAAAGAGCACTTACTTGACGGCTCGCTGACGCCATTTCTTAATTTGACATTTCAGTATATTGGGTATAGTAATAACGATTAGTTAGATTCTGCTAAAGTAATCCCGATTTCCAATTTTCGTTCTGTTAATGAGTGGTGATGAACCATGATAATATAAAAAGTTGAGATTTAACATTCTCAAAATTCGTTATTCTTTAAATTCAGTATGAAAAATTTAACATAACCCTTTGCAGAAAAAAAAACCCCTCTATTCGTAATGTTTTTGATTTTTGTCTGAGGTTGGGAAGAGGGCCGGCCTTTAGGGTGTGCAACCTGTGTCCTCGCACAGGGTGCCTGTAGCGAAAGGGGTACCTGGGGCGCCCAGCAGATATTTAAATTTCATAAGTTTATTATAGTGAAGTGTGAACCTCGGGTCCAGGGTCGAGAAATTTTCGTTCACAGCGTGTGCTTAGTTCGCCATCAACGATCTTCCCAAATAGGAAAAAGCATTGCATCTGGGTGCCATGGAAGAAAAAATAGAAAGTTCAGTAAAAAAAGATATTTTGATACAAGTTAAGAAAAACAATTTTATGTTAATTGTTTGATTTAGAAATAAAAAAAAACATAGGTTATAAACTCATTACCGAATAACTACTGTTTCAATTAATTATCATACTAAAAAGGGGTGCCAAAGTTAAGCATGCACAGGGCGCCAGCAACCGCCGGGCCGGCCCTGTGGGAAAGGTTGTTGGGGGGGCTGGTCTCTTGTAGTTGTTTTTTTCATTTTGTTTTTTTGTTTTTTTTCCTGTTTTTTTTTTTTTTTTTTTTTTTTTGGGGGGGGGGGTTTTGTTGGTTGTGTTTTTTTTTTTTTTTTTTTTTTTTTTTTTTTTTTTTTTTTTTTTTTTTTTTTTTTTTTTTTTTTGGGGGGGTGGTGTTAAGTACGTATGGATTTTTTTTTTTAATTATAGACCAACTTAATGACAAATTATTTGAAAATTTAATGATTTCAGGCACCCATTGTTAATTTTTTTTTTAAAAATCAAATGATAAACAGCAGATATTTTAATGGAAGTAATGTAAAACAAAATTCATATATCTGTTTTTTGGTGGACATTTGAGCTAAAATGTACCCGCATGCTTAGTTGTACATTAAATAATAATATAAGTAAGATTATTTATTGATCCTAATAAACTGACTTTTTTAAACTGCATTGTTCATATTCTTTTTCAGCACATAAATAAACATAATATATTTTGGTCAAGACAACATTTAACAATTACAAAAATTTAGACAAGACATCCAAATAACTTCTCTTGCTTAGCCATCACAACTACATGCATAATATTTAGATAAATCAGCTGTCAGGGAAATCCCTTGGTGACAATAATAATAAACTAGTGAGCACTTAGATTTGGCAAGCTCTGGTAATGATAATGTTTTACTTTTACTTTATGTAATCTCTTTTTGTTTTCATCCAGTGATTTCCAAAGTATTTTATTGTAGTGATAGTGTAGTGTTAGAGTATTGGAGTGTGGTGCAGTGTGGTGGCAGAGTAGGGGTAGTGTAGTGATAGAGTAGTGGTAGAGTACTAGCAGAGTAATGCTTTCTGCAGCACAGCGTTCTCTCTGAGATGGCATTTAATGTGATGCTTTCGATCAAATGTCCATCTACACGACCAGGACGAAACAAGGCCCAAGAAAAATCAAGTCATTTCTGACTTAAATCTCATGTCTGTTGAGACCAGATTGATTCACTAAATTAGTGTCGTTTTATTTTACACAACATGCTGATCTGACGCCTCCGATTTTGACAATTTCAACGCTCTATGCTTCCTGTGGCGTGCATGCCTTCGAAATATTTCAAGCTCCAATGACTGCACAATAAATAATTAGGCTGGAACTAAACTCATACAGTGCATTCTGTCATGGATTGAGATTTTTGTTTTCTTTTTAAAATAACATTTAAATCTTACAGTTCTCTCCAAACAAAAGGAAAAGATAATCCATTCACCTTTTTTTTTTTTTTTTTTTTTTAATTTTTTTCAATGGCTTTGTTTTTCCTAAAAGCATTTTAGTGATTTGTAAAAATTTTTGGGGGTTTTCCCCAAAAAGAGGCACGTAAATTTTTTTTTTTTTTTTTTTTTATTAATATGTTTCAATGGCATTGACTGTCCTAAAAGCATGTTAGTGATCTGTAAAAATGTTTGGGGGTTTTCCCCAAAAAGAGGCACGTCAACACATGCCATTGTGAAGTGACCTTGATATTGTAATCTGGTTTTAAAAATGTAGTGGCAGAGCCGTGTTGATACTTTCAGTCTTATCTAGACGCCATGGACAACAAAAGTACTAATGTATTGGATCAACGACCATTGGGCAAGGACGAATGGATTATTCAGGATTTAGCATGGATAAGTACATGCAGTCTTATTTACTTTAATTCTGGTCTATTTCCAGTCGTCTTGTCTAAGTCTTGCCATTGGATCAAGCAAGTTTCAAACACACATTATATATAATTTGCTCTTTCAGAAAATACTTGGTATCAAAACATCATCAGACAAACGAATATTTCTTAAAATTGGCTGTGTTACAAATACAAGGGGCAATAAACAAAAATACATAACAATCATTTATCTTTATTTTTTAATCTGTTATTTTCTTAAGTAATCTATTTTTGTTTAAATGGTAAAAGTAATATCGTTAAAAAAAGCTCACAAAGTTTTTTTTTTGTAATTATCACAGACATAATAATAATAAATAACAAAAGGCGTTTGAAAAAAAAATGGAATGTTTGGGAAGTTATTGGGCATAAAATTTGTCAAAAATATTTTTAAAAACCACGACTTGTTTGTTGTTGTTGTTTTGTAATAAATAAGAACATAATTTATTTTTTTTAAAATAGGAAGAGTGAAATTAAATGAAACAACTATCTTTTTAAAAAATAAAATAAATATGTTTTAGGAAAGCCTTATGTGAGCTAAAACTAATTCTTCTTTTCAAACACAACATTTAAGTAAATTATCACAAATCTGGAGGAAAAGACGACAATATCTCAGTTTTCGTCAAGTTAAGAAATAAGACCACCATTCACTTTCTTTTTTTTGTTTTTTTTTTTGTTTGAGAATGTTACAAGTATTTTGTCCTTTTCGAGAAACAAATATTCTGACAGCATTTTTTTTTTTACATTACAGAGATCTTGGCCTAAATTCGAACAAAATTTGAAGATATAGAACAGTGCTAGTAGCGCTTTCATTTCATTGAACTTGAGTCATGTAAGTTATGCCACGTCTTTTCGTATAAAAATATACATATTTCATATGACCAAATTTAAGAATTACTATTTTAAAGTATAGATAATTCACATCAATTTATTTGTGTATACGATTATATTTTGATTAGAAAAACTATCTGCCCTGGTTCTTTCAGAATATCGTACTGGCAATTGATGCGAAAACTATGAGGAATGCGGAGGCCTTTACAACAGTGGATGATCCTGAAAGTATATAAGCAAAACTCAAATTATCTCTTGATTAGACTAGAAATCATGTCTTGAAGAATAAAAGAAGTCTACAATATATTATCAGTTATCTTCAATGAAATTTAAAATATATTTTTCTATAATAATGTTTTATAACAATATTAAGAGTATTACCTGTTCCATTCGTTTGGGAACCTCCGTTTGAACCTAAAGAAAAATTTAATTTTAAAATCTGTTAGCATCATTCGTACAAAGATGATTTGTCTTTCTTGGAACCTAAAGAGCCTTTTGGTTTAGATAACGAAAGTGATCATAAAATTGAGTTTTTATTATTGATTATTTATTAAACTGGATTTTACAGTGCCCAGTAGAGACCGTCCGCAAGTGATTTTCTGAATTCAGCAGAATCCGAAATCATTATGAAAGTTAGAAATGACTTAAGTCTGGACTGAATTAAAAAGCTTAACGAGACACTCAGCCGACACCACAGCCGAAACAAAAAGTTTAATGAGACTCTTGGCCGAAAACAAAAGATTGTAATATTTCAAAACGCGTTTCCGCATATGCTCTGGGGACCGCTAACAATGAGAGAAACATTATTTTATTAGTCTTTCGTTACTCTCCTATAATTTAACGTGGGAGAGAATAATCCTGACCCTTCGTTGTTTTGGTTTGCTTTTTTCAGTGTCAACCTTCCATCGGTGAGCTAACAATATCTTAACTACGTTTTTTATCGAACAAAACTTACTGGGCCCTTAACATCCCTGTTAACCATCTAAATTAACTTAGGATAAACTTTGAAAAAGTCAATTTAACATTTTAATTTGGATGTTAGCCCCTTTAAATTGTCATCACGCATACCCACACACACACTCCCCCACACAAACCCAGATACGCACACATCAAGAAAAACACACATAAATAGAGTAACAGAAAAATGTTACTCTTTTTTTTGTATCTTCAACAGGAACGGCTCTCGATAAGCATCCATCTGATAGAATTAATTTTCTGTAATCTACATTTTACAGTCAACGTGTGTAATCAAGCCGTTCTATAGAATTCCAAGGCATAGTGTATCATGGCTTATGTATTTACACTGTATTAGAATCCTTCATACAAAAATCAATTATTTTTCTTGGAACCAAATGAGTCTTTTAATTAACATAACAAAGCTGATAATAAAATTGATTTTCTTTATATACTAAATCAGATTATACGGTTACCAGTATTCTTTTAATCACACACTTTTAAAATAGACATCCTGTTTAAAAGAATAAAAGAACTCTACTAGATATTATCAGTTATTTTCAATGAAATTTCAAACATATTTTTCTATAACAATATATATTTTTTTAAAATATTAAGTGTATTACCTGTTCCATTCGTTTGGGAACCTCCGTTTGCAACTATGGAAGAATTTAATTTTAAAATCTGTTAGCATCATTCGTACAAAGATGATTTGTCTTTCTTGGTACCTAAGAGCATTTTAGTTTAGATAACAAAAGCTATCATAAAACTGAATTTTCTTTAAAGATTACATACTAAACTGGATTTTACAGTGCCCAGTAGAGACCATTCGCAAGTGATTTTCTTAATTCATCAGAATCCGAAATCATTATGAAAGTTAGACATGACTTGTGTCCGAAAAAAAGATAAAGATTTACGAGGCTTTCAGCTGAAACCTGAGCCGAAACCAAAAGTTTAATGAGACTTTAGGCCAAAACGGAAAACGAAAGATTGAAATTTTTCAAATCACGTTTCCCATATGTTATTGGTACGGCGAACAATGAGAGAAAAATTATTTCTTTTGCCTGAAGTTACTCTAATATCACTTACAATTGCAAGTGAATATGCCTCAACCTTTGCTGATGTTTTGTTTTTTGGTGTTTTTTTTGGTTTTTTTCAGTGTCAACCTTCCATCGGTGAGCTAACAATATTTTCACTACTTTTTTTATCGAAACGAAATTATTGGGCCTTAAACATCCCTTTTAACCAACTAAAAAAATTTAGGATAAACTTTGAAAAAGACAATTTACTATTTTTTCTTTGATCTTAACCCCTTTAAATTGTAATAACGCATACACACACTCCCACGCACACCCATATACACACACACACATCCGCAAAAACACACTTCAAAGGAAGTAACAGAAAAATGTTACTCTTTTTTTGTATCTCCACCGGGAACGACTCTCGATAAGCATCCATCTGAGAGTATTAATTTTCTGTAAACTTAATTTTTACATTCAAAGTGTGTAATCAAGCCGTTCTATAGAATTCCAAGGCCGAGTGTATCATGGCTTATGTATTTACATTGTATCAGCATTCTTCATACAAAAATCAATGATATTTCCTGGAACCAAATGAGTCTTTTAATTTACATAACAAAGCTGATAATAAAATTGAATTTCTTTATATACTAAATCAGATTATACGGTTACCAGTATTCTTTAAACCACACACTTTTAAAATAGACATCCTGTTTAAAAGAATAAAAGAACTCTACTAGATATTTTCAGTTATTTTCAATGAAATTTCAAACATATTTTTCTATAACATTATTTTTTTTTAAAAATATTAAGTGTGTTACCTGTTCCATTCGTTTGGGAACCTCCGTTTGCACCTATGGAAGAATTTAATTTTAAAATCTGTTAGCATCATTCGTACAAAGATGATTTGTCTTTCTTGGTACCTAAGAGCCTTTTAGTTTAGATAACAAAAGCTATCATAAAACTGAATTTTCTTTATAGATTATATACTAAACTGGATTTTACAGTGCCCAGTAGAGACCATTCGCAAGTGATTTTCTTAATTCAGCAGAATCCGAAATCATTATGAAAGTTAGAAATGACTTTTGTCCGAACAAAAGATAAAGATTTACGAGGCTTTCAGCTGAAAACTGAGCCGAAACCAAAAGTTTAATGAGACTTTAGGCTGAAACCGAAAACGAAAGATTGAAATTTTTCAAATCACGTTTCGCATATGTTCTGGGTACGGCGAACAATGAGAGAAAAATTATTTCTTTTGCATGAAGTTACACTAATATCCCTTACACTTGCAAGTGAATATGCCTCAACCTTTGCTGATGTTTTGTTTCGTTTTTTGTTGTTGTTTTTTTTTCAGTTTCAACCATCAATTGGTGAGCTAAAAATATTTTCACTACTTTTTTTTATCGAAACAAAATTACTGGGCCTTAAACATCCCTGTTAAACAACTAAAAAAATTTAGGATAAACTTTGAAAAAGACAATTTACTATTTTTTCTTTGGTCTTAGCCCCTTTAAATTGTAATAACGCATACACACACTCCAACACACACCCATATACACACAAACACATCCGCAAAAACACACATCAACGGAAGTAACAGACAAATGTTACTCTTTTTTTGTATCTTCACCGGGAACGACTCTCGATAAGCATCCATCTGAGAGAATTAATTTTCTGTAAACTTAATTTTTACATTCAAAGAGTAATCAAGCCGTTCTATAGAATTCCAAGGCCACGTGTATCATGGCTTATGTATTTACATTGTATTAGTATCCTTCATACAAAAATCAATGATATTTCCTGCAACCAAATGAGTCTTTTACTTTACATAACAAAGCTGATAATAAAATTGATTTTCTTTATATACTAAATCAGATTATACGGTTACCAGTATTCTTTAAACCACACACTTTTAAAATAGACATCCTGTTTAAAAGAATAAAAGAACTCTACTAGATATTTTCAGTTATTTTCAATGAAATTTCAAACATATTTTTCTATAACATTATTTTTTTTTTTAAATATTAAGTGTGTTACCTGTTCCATTCGTTTGGGAACCTCCGTTTGCAACTATGGAAGAATTTAATTTTAAAATCTGTTAGCATCATTCGTACAAAGATGATTTGTCTTTCTTGGTACCTAAGAGCCTTTTAGTTTAGATAACAAAAGCTATCATAAAACTGAATTTTCTTTAAAGATTATATACTAAACTGGATTTTACAGTGCCCAGTAGAGACCATTCGCAAGTGATTTTCTTAATTCAGCAGAATCCGAAATCATTATGAAAGTTGGAAATGACTTTTGTCCGAACAAAAGATAAAGATTTACGAGGCTTTCAGCTGAAACCTGAGCCGAAACCAAAAGTTTAATGAGACTTTAGGCTGAAACCAAAACCAAAAAACGAAAGATTGAAATTTTTCAAATCACGTTTCGCATATGTTCTGCGTACGGCGAAAAATGAGAGAAAAATTATTTCTTTTGCCTGAAGTTACTCTAATATCCCTTACACTTGCAAGTGAATATGTCTCAACCTTTGCTGATGTTTTGTTTTTTTGTTTTTTTTTTTTTCAGTGTCAACCTTCCATCGGTGAGCTAACAATATGTTCACTACTTTTTTTATCGAAACGAAATTATTGGGCCTTAAACATCCCTTTTAACCAACTAAAAAAACTTAGGATAAACTTTGAAAAAGACAATTTACTATTTTTTCTTTGGTCTTAGCCCCTTTAAATTGTAATAACGCATACACACACTCCAACGCACACCCATATACACATAAACACATAGGCAAAAACACACATCAACGAAAGTAACAGAAAAATGTTACTCTTTTTTTGTATCTTCACCGAGAACGACTCTCGATAAGCATCCATCTGAGAGAATTAATTTTCTGTTATCTAAATTTTACATTCAAAGTGTAATCAATCCGTTCTATAGAAATCCAAGGTCACGTGTATCATGGCTTATGTATTTACATTGTATTAGCATCCTTCATACAAAAATCAATGATATTTCCTGGAACCAAATGAGTCTTTTACTTTACATAACAAAGCTGATAATAAAATTGATTTTCTTTATATACTAAATCAGATTATACGGTTACCAGTATTCTTTTAATCACACACTTTTAAAATAGACATCCTGTTTAAAAGAATAAAAGAACTCTACTAGATATTATCAGTTATTTTCAATGAAATTTCAAACATATTTTTCTATAACAATATATATTTTTTAAAATATTAAGTGTATTACCTGTTCCATTCGTTTGGGAACCTCCGTTTGCAACTATGGAAGAATTTAATTTTAAAATCTGTTAGCATCATTCGTACAAAGATGATTTGTCTTTCTTGGTACCTAAGAGCCTTTTAGTTTAGATAACAAAAGCTATCATAAAACTGAATTTTCTTTAAAGATTATATACTAAACTGGATTTTACAGTGCCCAGTAGAGACCATTCGCAAGTGATTTTCTTAATTCAGCAGAATCCGAAATCATTATGAAAGTTAGACATGACTTTTGTCCGAACAAAAGATAAAGATTTACGAGGCTTTCAGCTGAAACCTGAGCCGAAACCAAAAGTTTAATGAGACTTTAGGCTGAAACCAAAACCAAAAAACGAAAGATTGAAATTTTTCAAATCACGTTTCGCATATGTTCTGCGTACGGCGAAAAATGAGAGAAAAATTATTTCTTTTGCCTGAAGTTACTCTAATATCCCTTACACTTGCAAGTGAATATGTCTCAACCTTTGCTGATGTTTTGTTTTTTTGTTTTTTTTTTTTTTTCAGTGTCAACCTTCCATCGGTGAGCTAACAATATGTTCACTACTTTTTTTATCGAAACGAAATTATTGGGCCTTAAACATCCCTTTTAACCAACTAAAAAAACTTAGGATAAACTTTGAAAAAGACAATTTACTATTTTTTCTTGGGTCTTAGCCCCTTTAAATTGTAATAACGCATACACACACTCCAACGCACACCCATATACACATAAACACATAGGCAAAAACACACATCAACAGAAGTAACAGAAAAATGTTACTCTTTTTTCGTATCTTCACCGGGAACGACTCTCGATAAGCATCCATCTGAGAGAATTAATTTTCTGTAAACTTAATTTTTACATTCAAAGTGTAATCAAGCCGTTCTATAGAACTCCAAGGCCAAGTGTATCATGGCTTATGTATTGACACTGTATTAGTATCCTTCATACAAAAATCAATGATATTTCTTGGAACCAAATGAGTCTTTTAATTTACATAACAAAGCTGACAATAAAATTGATTTTCTTTATATACTAAATCAGATTATAAGGTTACCAGTATTCTTTAAACCACACACTTTTAAAATAGACATCCTGTTTAAAAGAATAAAAGAACTCTACTAGATATTATCAGTTATTTTCAATGAAATTTAAAACATATTTTTCTATAACAATATATCTTTTTTTAAATATTAAGTGTATTACCTGTTCCATTCGTTTGGGAACCTCCGTTTGCAACTATGGAAGAATTTAATTTTAAAATCTGTTAGCATCATTCGTACAAAGATGATTTGTCTTTCTTGGTACCTAAGAGCCTTTTAGTTTAGATAACAAAAGCTATCATAAAACTGAATTTTCTTTAAAGATTATACACTAAACTGGATTTTACAGTGCCCAGCAGAGACCATCCGCAAATGATTTTCTTAATTCAACAGAATCCGAAATCATTATGAAAGCTGGAAATGACTTTTGTCCGAACAAAAGATAAAGATTTACGAGGCTTTCAGCTGAAACCTGAGCCGAAACCAAAAGTTTAATGAGACTTTAGGCAGAAACAAAAACCAAAAACGAAAGATTGAAATTTTTCAAATCACGTTTCGCTTATGTTCTGGGTACGGCGAACAATGATAGAAAAATTATTTCTTTTGCCTGAAGTTACTCTAATATCCCTTACACTTGCAAGTGAATATGCCTCAACCTTTGCTGATGTTTTGTTTTTTTGTTTTTTTCAGTGTCAACCTACCATTGGTGAGCTAACAATATTTTTACTACTTTTTATCGAAACGAAATTATTGGGCCTTAAACATCCCTTTTAACCAACTAAAAAATCTTAGGATAAACTTTGAAAAAGACAATTTACTATTTTTTCTTTGGTCTTAGCCCCTTTAAATTGTAATAACGCATACACACACTCCAACGCACACCCATATACACATAAACACATAGGCAAAAACACACATCAACGAAAGTAACAGAAAAATGTTACTCTTTTTTTGTATCTTCACCGAGAACGACTCTCGATAAGCATCCATCTGAGAGAATTAATTTTCTGTTATCTAAATTTTACATTCAAAGTGTAATCAATCCGTTCTATAGAAATCCAAGGTCACGTGTATCATGGCTTATGTATTTACATTGTATTAGCATCCTTCATACAAAAATCAATGATATTTCCTGGAACCAAATGAGTCTTTTACTTTACATAACAAAGCTGATAATAAAATTGATTTTCTTTATATACTAAATCAGATTATACGGTTACCAGTATTCTTTTAATCACACACTTTTAAAATAGACATCCTGTTTAAAAGAATAAAAGAACTCTACTAGATATTATCAGTTATTTTCAATGAAATTTCAAACATATTTTTCTATAACAATATATATTTTTTTAAAATATTAAGTGTATTACCTGTTCCATTCGTTTGGGAACCTCCGTTTGCAACTATGGAAGAATTTAATTTTAAAATCTGTTAGCATCATTCGTACAAAGATGATTTGTCTTTCTTGGTACCTAAGAGCCTTTTAGTTTAGATAACAAAATCTATCATAAAACTGAATTTTCTTTAAAGATTATATACTAAACTGGATTTTACAGTGCCCAGTAGAGACCATCCGCAAGTGATTTTCTGAATTCCGCAGAATCCGAACTCATTATGAAAGTTAGACATGACTTTTGTCCGAACAGAAGATAAAAATTTACGAGGCTTTCGGCCGACACCTAAGCCGAAACCAAAAATGTAATGAGACTTTAGGCTGAAACCGAAACCGAAAACGAAAGATTGAAATTTTTCAAATCACGTTTCGCATATGTTCTGGGTACGGCGAACGATGGGAGAAAAATTATTTCTTTTGCATGAAGTTACTCTCATATCACTTACACTTGCAAGAGAATATGCCTCACATTTTGTTGATATTTTGCTTTTTGTTGTTTTGTTTTCAGTGTCAACCTTCCATCGGTGAGCTAAAAATATCTTAACTACCTTTTTTTTAATCGAAAAAAAAATTATTGGGCCAAATTCATGTTACCAAATGAGCCTTTTAATTTAAATAACAAAACCAATTATAGAGTTAATTTTAATTTTATACTAAATCAGATTTCACGGTTACCAGTATTCTTTTCATCACCAATTTTTAGACTAGAAATCCTGTCTTGGCAAATAAAAGGAACTCTACTTAACATTATCAGTTATTTTCAATGAAATTTGAAATTTATTTTTCTATAACAATATTTTTAAAAAAAAAATATGAAGAGTATTACCCGTTGCATTCGTTTGGGAACCTCCGTTTGCACCTTTGGAAGAATTTAATTTTAAAATCTGTTAGCATCATTCGTACAAAGATTTTTCGTACTGGATTTTACAGTGCCTAGCAAAGATTGACCGAAAGTCCTGTTCTGATTTCGTCCGAAACCATAATCACTCCGAAAGTTAAATATAATTTTCGGCCGAAACGGACAGTAAAAGCTTTACGAGACTTTTCGGTTGAAAGTGATGCCGAAATCGAAAGATTTTGATATTTCCAAACACGTTTTCGCATATTTTCTGGGCACTGGGAAAAATGACTGAATTTTTAAAATTTTATTTTTGATGGACTCTAATACAATTTACTCATGGACGTGAACCTACCAACCCATTTTTTTAAGTGTCACTTTGACCATCAGTAAGCTAAAAACGTCTTAACTAATTTTTTTTTAAAAATCCTACCGAACTTATTGGGACCTAAACATCGCTGTTAACCATCCAAATTGACTTGGGATTAACTTTGAAATTGTCATTTTACCAATTTACCTTGTATTTTTGTTTAAGTAAATAGACACGACCATTTGGTGTCAAATTTGGACAGTTACAGAGATTGATTAGTTTTATCACAATGTGTTGTTATCAATCCCACTTCCGAAATATTACTTAGTAGGGAGACAAATATACTTTGACGAATTCTTCATCAGATGAAATTTCGGCACATATACTAATCACGAATACTAGAGGAAAAACACGTACTCCGATTGTACAAAATGCTTCTTTAATATTTTCTGCATGTTTTTTATCATACTTTTCACTTTTCAGTTATTTTTATGTCAGAAACTATGTGTTATTGAAATTAAAATAATTTTTGTGTGGTTCTTGACCCGATTTAAAAAAAAAAACGTCTACAAAGAGTCTATGAGAGCTGGAGCTATTGTTGCTGAAAAGAAATGAATAATTTCACCATTTCTATTTCTGTCCTAGGATACTTCTCAAACTTGTTTTATAAAAAAAATGTATGTATGGCTTTAACGCGCTGTTCTGTTGGACAAAAAATAATATATCATATAGTGAAATGCACAATCTGTAAATTTGTTTTCAAAGCCGCGAAAGATAAAATTCATACTTTTAAACGGGATTCTTAAAAAAAAAAACTGATTGGGAGATTTTTTAAATTTTATTTTGTTATTGAACATCGATTATATTAATATTTGGCAAAATAATTAAACAACCCCTAAAAACAAAGTTTTTTCGTCTGAATCCATTGGGGGGGGGGGCGGGGCGGGGGGGTGGGGGGTTGGGACTGAAAATTTTACAAAACATGCATCCTGGTAACGCACTTTATAAGAATCCCCATAATTACTCCCCCACACCTCGGACCCGCTCATTTTTTTTCCACCCTGTATTGAACATCGATTATATTAATATTTGGCAAAATAATTAAACAACCCCTAAAAACAAAGTTTTTTCGTCTGAATCCATTGGGGGGGGGGGCGGGGCGGGGGTGTGGGGGGTTGGGACTGAAAATTTTACAAAACATGCATACTGGTAACGCACTTTATAAGAATCCCAATTATTACTCCCCCAAACCTCGGAACCGCTAATTTTTTTCCCACCCTGAAATATATTAATATTCTACCGTAATGACCCACCCGCTTTTACACCGTAGATTTATTTCACCAAATATGTAAGAAAAACAAAAGAAAACATTACGCACCTAAAGCACTTGCGATAGTGTTGTTGTTGTTGTTTTTTTTTTAAAAAAGAATCTAATTTAGCGCAGTTTTCGTGAAATCGGCGTCATCCTATTTCCTTTACCTTCCCCTTGAAAAGCAGTAGAAATTGATCATGGTTATTAGTTTTTTTTTTTTGTTTTTTTTTTGGAGGTTGTGTGTTTCAACTTGATGGTTTGACGGTAAGTTGGTCAGTTACCCGTTCGAAGATGTTGCCCTCAACACACAAAAACCAAGTATAAAGGATTGTATAAAAATTCATAGTCCTGTAGGTAAATATAAACAGTCTGCAATATGTCAGTATTAATGTTATAAATTAGAAATCCATTTAATTCTATGATACCCCAAGAAGTTAGCATTAACTGGAATTCTTTACACAATTGGATCGGCATTGTTTGGCGGGTCATTTCTAATTACTTATTAAAAAAAATTATAAAAGTTTCTTTCCTAACGAAAAGACACAATTTGAATATGCCTGACCACTGCCAAGATATCTTTTCACTCTAAACTATACGCCAATCAACTATCTAGTACATTACATAAATTAAATTATTCTGGGGAACTGATAATTAAATTGTCAGTTTTTAGATCACACATAAAGGATTAACTTGTCCAACAATTACACTGAATGATGACGGTAAATGTAATATAAATAGTCAGCCAAATAATTGCAGCCGCAATGCTTGGCATTTCTATTGGCATCAATTTACTTGACAAAACATATATTTAAGGAACGCAGTTTATAAAGATATCCCAATAAGTGCAACCTACTGGAAATTTTAGTTTTCGCGCCTATTGAACACAGTGTAACGGCCATAAATACATGCCTAGATAATTATTACTTGCGATTAAAAATAAATATATATTTCAATATACGATTGTTAACAATAGTCAGCTGTTACAAATGGGACCAACCTAAAGGAATAAAGAATCTCTCAATGATCTTTGGATTAAAAATTCTTATATTGTGAAAGCTCAGTAGTACTTTTGGGACCAGTGCTTCACGGGGTTACATATATGTGTTAGGTCTCTTGTCATACACACCCACTAAGTGCAGTTGTTTCACTAAAGGTCTATATTTTAACCTTACGTCTCTATCAAGGTCCACGGCGATAGCTTTAAGTGAATAACTGTTAGGTAAGTTTCCTATAATAACATTTGCGTCGACCAGTTAAACAAACTTTTGTTAACTCTTTCACAATCAAAAGCAGCATAAAGTTAAGATTACCTTGTTCTTCAAATTATATTTTCATCTTCATGGATATCATCGTATTAGGATTTTAATAACATCGCCATTTAAAGCATATTTGCCAGTTTGAGATTTAATTTAGCGTCAGGCCTCATTGCCGTTAAATAAATTTAAAGATCTTTCATATTAAATTATTTATAAAAAATTATATAAATTAATGAATTTTTTTTAACTTACCACTTGTGTCAGGCCCCGAGGACAAAGTTACCGTAACTATGAATAAAAAATGTTTACAACTATTACTTTAGGGAAAAGTAATTTAAGTGATATATTATATTTTCAGCCTTTTACGAACAGGTTACAGTGTATGCAAACTCATTGGGTTATCAGTTAATTTGAAGTTGAAGATTTTTAATTCCATATCAGTCAACTGCTAAGATGTAGAGGATTATAATTTATTTACATTGTTGTGACACGTTATTGAAATCAGGTACTATATTATTGAAAAGGTTAAAATTTGTAAACTTACTGACAGCAGCAACAATGGCAAAGAGCACTGTAAAATATTTGTATCAAAAATTTCATAAATTGTTCACATAGCATATATAAGATGTAAGAAATGTTGTATAATTAGTATTCATATGGTTATTTTCAATGACAATCGAATGAACTTTTACACTAGATGCCGTCTTCAAAACATAACAAGAAATGACAAACGATAAGAAATTGAAATCAAAGATGTATGGTGTCGAAAGCGCTCATAATATGTTAGAGAAGGAATTTAAGTTAACTAAAAACCACACCTTAATACCCAAGAGATTACACATTGTAACACAACCTAGCTATTGATTATGTGAGGCTTTAGAATTGTAAAAAAAATTAATATTGAAAAAATAATAACAGAAATAAGTAGAAATTAATGATTACTAGTTAGAGAGTATTTGATTGAGTTCACAAGGTTCACAATAATGAAAAAAATCTAAATTAATTACATTTTAATATTTCTTTCACTGGGGTATTAAGGAAGGAAATATGTAGCAAAATGGAAATTTTTGATGTGCCATTGTGATCATTTATATCCATTGTAAGGGAATGAGACCAACAATTGCAGAGATTAAAAAAGTTTACTTTAGCTTTATTCATCGGCAGCTAGTAGTAGAAATATAATTTTCCTTTCTTAAAAAATAATTTAAAAATTGTAGGTAATAGAATATTTTAAATTGTTTAATTAATCGCCCATGAGATTTGAAACTGGTAAACACCATTAAGGTTTATCTGATCTCAACAATTAATGCACATTAGTAGTCTCAAATATTACATTACAAAGGTTTTAAAATATTATTATTTAGTCAATTAAAAGATTTATAAAGATTTATGTGAACACAGTAAGCCATAATTGCCCCTAGCAGTTCTGCTGATGTTCTCCGGTTAAGAGTGCAATTTTAAAACACTATTTTTAGGTATGTGCTAAAATGCATCGTTGCATTATAAATTTATTTTTTAGGGGGGGGGGGGGGGGGAATCAATCCCATCCCGTAACCCCTCCGACTATTCATTCGGCAGGACTTTGATGGGCGTCCTCGACTTGCGGCTCCCAAACCCTAACGTCATCGTTTTAAAGTGGCAATGCCGTAAAAAAATTATCGCAAAAAATGCACTGTATGTAACATACTGAAGATCTGTATTTTGATTTAAATCTATACCGTTGGTGTGGCGGCAACAGACGATGTCTTTTCATCTGATGTTTATGAGTATTTATAATAAATACATGGTTGAGCACACCGTGTTTTAGGTAAATATTTTATTTATTAGATATATAGACATGCCTCCCTTGAAGAGTTGACTCTCGTTATAAGTGACCAGGGAAGCCATTTGGATTGGCCTTACATTATTTTAAAAAAAAAATAATAATAATTATTAAGTCGTTCGCAACGACGTTCGGTTGCCAATGCAAAGAAGTATTGATAATCATTCTAAATGATATCGTATTTCCTTTTTAATGACGCTGCACATGAAATTGTAAATTTTTAAAGTACACTATTAAACGTTGCAAAAGATTTTACCTATAAAAGACTTTCCCATTCTTGCCAATCAGACCTGTTAATACAAACATAAAATAATTCAAAAGCAAGAAGACATCGTAACTGTGATTGAAGAGAATTTGTTTTATTATAATGAAATACGATCGTTACACATTTAAACAGTAATATAATTTATAATTTGATACCCAGTTGATTTTTGTGTAAATATCTACCTAAGATCTGACTCACGTGTATATAGTTGACCACGTTGCCTGAGAGTACACGATCGTGTTCTGAGAACTGCGGCTTCTCTGTTGGAGCTGCAGCTTTTGGTCTTTTATATACGGCAGTGTTGGGCAAGGGTCTTACACAACAACCAAGAGAACAAAAAAAAACTATTTGTATGTAAGAGAAAGAATAACAAACCGGTCTTGTTGCTAAGACCTTATCTTGAAATTATTGAAAACAAATACGTCATTGGTTTGAACATAAATTTTGTTCTTCCTTGACTAATCAGGACTATACGTCTCAAGTCTAGAGCGTCACAATGTGGTCTATAGCTCCAACGATAAAGATTCACTTTTTTTTTTCTCTTCTGAATAACAAATGTTATGCAGAGTAATTATTTTCTATAAATAAGATTTAAACAAAATAAGATGTCTGTAGGTTTAACAGAGGTTTTATCCTATAAGATCAATATCATTCTAAAGTGTATTCATACAGCTATTGCTCAACGGTCAAATTGTGGACATTTAAAAAAAAAAAAGGTTCTATTAATGGCGGATCAAGGGATAGGAAGTACAACAATTGAACAACGTTGACCACGTATGTCATAAAATTGGACTATGTCCCATGTAAATGGTCACCAAGCGTCACACCAATAAGTGTAAAATTCATAAAGTCTGTTATTTTCTCTTTTCTTAAAGGGAACGCAAAATTCATTTTGCTTATAGCCTAAAAATGAAAATACTGCTAGTAATAATAATAGATGTAAGGTAATTCTTTGAAATACAACGTCGTTGTGTCTTTGTTTTAAATCAGAGACACATTGCGATATTGGCGTGTAGCTGTCTTGTTCACGTGATAAGTATTGACATGTTACTGTTGGTAACGTTGACTTTCGTGGAATGGGCCAAATACTTCCTCGTTGACTTGAAAACTCAGATTACGATACATTCCAGTCCATGGATTCAAGTTGTGACATGGGAGGCAGTCAACACTGACAGGTTAAGAGGAGTCTTCTTTAATTATGCTTCATTTTAATTTGACAAACACTTTGGCTGGTATTATTTTAAACGAACAATTTTAACTATGATGAAGAACAAGGAAATATATATTTATTATTGAAATGTCGTCCTAGCTTGGTTTATGATCTCAGCTGTTAAAAAAATGTATGATAGCTTATATCTATAACCAGATAATCTTTGTTTTAGCATTGTCTGATGAGCTGGTGAAAATAATGTATTATCAAAGTCACCGACCCACAGCTGAATTGGGCTTGGGGGGGGGGGTGGCGATTACTGTAAATACAATGGTAAAAACTTCTGGTGTATCTAAAATCTTGAGCCCCACGGGGCTGTCCACACATTTTCCCTCACCTCATTAAAAACACAATTTATACCAAATTAAACATAGATCAACAAAAGGTGTGTCCGCAGATTTTCAAAAGATTTAATGACGAAGTTTAATTTTGAATCAATCGCAACATTAACCGCCCCCAGATGTGCCCATGACCTAAAAACAAGTAAAAAGGAGGAATAGGCAATGCTGCCTGCCATAGTGACGCCAGCGACTTAGGCCCCTTCATACATGCACATTTTTATATCATGATCAGAGCAGAGGAAGCTAAGGAACGCGGTACTGGAAAAAAAAATGGACGAAATTTTTTTTTTTTTTTTTTTCTTAAGTGAGAAATTACAATTCCAAATTCTGCTACATTAATAGCTTGTTATGCTATAAGCGAAACAGTCGTCAATGGTGTCCGAATGTCAATTCCGCTATTTTTAAAAAATCAATAATATTTAATTAACAGCATAAAAGTGAAGTATGCATGGCACTCCAGCTTGTCTGCTTCGTCTTATTTTAGTACAGCCATCAATCCGTATGCACGATTCCTTAGTACCCAATGGTTCAAAGACACGGTCCGCAGGGCGTACTTTCTGTACCTGGGGACTTTTTTTTTGTGGTGTCTTATTAATCTACTGAAACTTTTTATCAACCCCGTACAATTTTGTTTACAAGCTATACAAGTGAATTAGTGAAATTCGTTCTTTCAGGACCAGTGTTTCTTTCAGGCGCTGTCATGGTGGGGGGGGGGGCGCATTCTTGGCGTTCAGGTAGGGGGCGCACACAGGGCATCATCTATTCGCCACTAAAACTTAAGCACAGTGTCGCCGAGGGGACCGGCAAAACACGATCTAAATTTATTCCTGTTGTGGCTTCCCGGAGAATACGACTGTGGTCCGATAGGTACGCTGGCAAGCCTAGTCCCACACTTTAAATCTTGATTAGTCCCCCGGAAAATGTTTAATCAAGTCAAGGGGCAAGAATGCAGTCTAGTACGTACCTAAATTTAGTTTTGAACCTTTCTCGGATATTTGACGGACTTACAGGTGTGCCGTGGACACTTTTTTAAATTATCAGGGGGGGGGGGAGGGGGAGGGGACAAAATCCATAAGAGACTATGGGTCCAGATAAAGTAAAGCATCGGCTCTGCTTGGCCAGATTGTCTTATACAAAAAAAAAATTTATTACTGAATAGCAATGTATTTTTTTAACATTTTATATAAACTAATTTTTTGGTTAATAAATAATTCAATTTATAAACAAAAAACACCACCTCAAAAAAATGCCACCCGGGACCATTCTGCCCTATGCACCCTGAACTATGCTGCTGTTTATGCCATGGCTTGTAATGATCTGCCCTATGCACCCTGAACTATGCTGCTGTTTATGCCATGGCTTGTAATGATCTGCCCTATGCACCCTGAACTATGCTGCTGTTTATGCCATGGCTTGTAATGATCAGTGTGATTAATACTTAAACAATTTAAAAAACAAAAAAAAAAGTTATAATCTTTTTTTTTAACTAAACATTATTTCGAAACTAACAAAATATATTTTTTTTTAAAAATTGGATCTAATATAAATATTGATTATTTATATTTTAATTACGTTAATCAATCTTTTTTTTATAGTAATACTTTATCATGTGTGTAATATTTTTTGTTTTGAGTGTAATCACAAATCAGGCATAATTGAATTCTTACTAAAACTAATTTGCTAATTTCCTTCACTTTGAAAACAAGAGTTAGCACTGTTCACTTCATACATGGGAAATCACTCTGTAAAATGTACAATTGATCCTTCCCATTGTTAATTATGTCCCTTTTTCTTATGACGTCTGATGCTCAAAGAAAACTGTTGAGTCTTTGAAAACTTGCCGTATTTTTATGGATAAGTATCTTAAAAAAGGTGCAGCTTAGAATATAAATATAGCATTTCTTTATCGTTATATATGAGATACGTCTACAATCAACAAATAAATACGATTCACCTTTTATTAACATCATGTTAATCAACTTTAAAATCATTCATCACTTTTGGTTTTAAAAGAATTTCTACGTCTTTGTTTGCGAAATGGCCCAGAGGCTAATCGGCGGCGGCGCAATTGTGGAGGTGAACTTGACACGAATCGGCAGCGGTGTAACGGCGTCGTCTAAATGGTGTGCGCTAAGTGGTGTAGGCAAATCGTTTCAATCCCCTGGATTAAAAAAAATGGTCAGTGCCTCTCTGGAAACAGTAGACGAAATCCATGCACTTGGTCACATGGCCATTCTCCGATTGGTTCCTTGTAACGTTGGGGTGACGCAGAATGAACAAGCAGATACCCCTCTCTAGTTGCTCCCCTGTTACGTTGGGGTGACGCAGAATGAACAAGCAGATACCCCTCTCTAGTTGCTCCCCTGTTACGTTGGGGTGACGCAGAATGAACAAGCAGATACCCCTCTTTAATTGCTCCCCTGTTACGTTGGGGTGACGCAGAATGAACAAGCAGATACCCCTCTTTAATTGCTCCCCTGTTACGTTGGGGTGACGCAGAATGAACAAGCAGATACCCCTGTTAGCGCGAGACGACACTGAGCATTGGCACACGGAAGGCTGATGACCCGACATCTTTCTAAGTAATGCAACAAACGAAAAACTTGTTGTGTGTCCATTAATTAAAACATTTATTTTTAAAAAGGTTAAAGTTACTAAAAGAATAAATTTAAAACATTTTTTTTTCTAATTTTAATCAGTCATAAATATAACATAAATTAACACATTTCAAAAATGCGCGCCTCGAATGATTTAAATTTTGTTCCTGATTTAAAAAAATAATAATATTTTAAACAAAGTGAAACATTTTTAAAAAAAACAATAATAATAATAAATTAAATAAAAGTGGCCACAGCAACAACAAAAAATATAGTTATCACAGAACTTGGGTTGTCTTTGATTATAAGTACGTTAATGCAAATGCTACGCCAACTGAAACTAAGTCTCTTGTCAAACACATCACGGAAGTAAACTATCACAACGATAGCGGAGAAGAAGACAATGTCTCATTTATCGTCAAGACAAGAAATAGGGCCAGCATTGAAATGTGTTTGGCGAGAACGCTGCACATGCTTTGTCCTCCTGCTTACACAAGGTTTATTATTTTTTACCTTACAAAGACGACAGTCAAAACCTGAAACACAAGTGTAAGAGGTGTTTGACAGTCATCAGCAGTTCCACAACTCTACCACAAATGTCAAAGTGGGCGCTTGCATTTCTTTTATCTTGAGTCATTTAAGTTATGTCTTGTCTTTTCATATCAAGAAAATTGAATTAATTTGGGTGGGGGGTAGAATTTAGGTTTCACGATAGAAATAACTCAGTTGGAAACAAGTCATTTAGTTCAGCCAATTATGTGTACAACATTATATTTCATATTTGAAAAATTATTGTTTGAGTTCTTTCAAAAAATCATATTCGCGGTTGTTGAGAGAAAGATGAGGATTGCAGAAGCCTTCACCACAATGGATGAACCTGAAGGAATAGAAACAATGCTCAGATTAGCAACAGATCGGTATTCCATCGTGATAGAAATAGTTGTTTTATCTATTTAAGTTTGGTACAAGCCGCATTTACTTATATATCAGAATATGTACTATGTATGTATATAAATATATATATTTAAATTATAAATATAAATATATAAAGAGTCTAAATCTTCGACTGCAACACAAACTTTAATAACATACCCCTTATGTAATCGACAATAAATATGATAAATTGTTCCATATTTTTAAGTTTTAGATATAAATGAAAATAAAATAAAATTACAATTATTTATTTGCTAAGCGTTAAAACGGCTGTAAATTTTAATGCAAAGATATCTTGTCCTGAAAATAGTTCATTATAACCGA